AACCAACTATTGGTTTTTAAATATAATTTCTCAAACTAGCGATTTGGAATCGTCGACTTATCATCTTTTAAAAAAATATATATTAACTGAATAGATACAATATATACCTAGACACCTAGTTAATAGTTTCTAATCGTTGAAGAAAGAACTTAGCCAACAAAAAAAAGATCTAGGATTTTGCGAGTCATCGACGTATTATTGTTAAGTTTCCCAACGAAACAGCATGTCCATTTTATACACAACCAAACTTAACCAAACCAACCGAATTCAGATTATGTTTGTTTTGTCAGCCATTACATATCCACGATGAGAATTAAGTATAACTAAAAGGTAGGAGACCCATACTACCTATTAAGCACTAACACGTTATCTCATAAATCAAAATGAGAGACAAAGAGATCATTGCGTCAAGAAAAAAACTAGTAAATTGCGTCCAGTATTTATAAAATTATACAAATTAACATGTGGATGCATTTGCTACACAATTTTGAAGCATACGTTGAAATATATTTTTTTATATTATAATTATGGCTTATTATTGAGTATTGAGTGATTATAACAAAATGAAGTTACATTTCTGATACTGCAAACGTAGTTTATTCAAAATTTGGAAACCAGTTATTACCATTATAACAATTAGTTTATGCTGTAGTGCAAACCAATATCAACGTAATAATTAAACCAGTTAGAGATAGCAATGTGCCTAACAGCTATTCTTCAAATAAAAAAACAATATATATATAAATGCATGCATGTCTTCAAATTTGTAACACACAAGCACATCTCGAGCAGAAAAGTAAACAAATTAAACAAGACAATGAAGTTACGAATGTTATGGCTCGCTTTGGTATTCACAGCCGTCGAAACTAATGCAATGAAGCAAGCAGAGAATGCAACAATCCAAGCACTAATAGTATTCGGAGATTCGATCATGGATACTGGTAACAACAACAATCTCCCCACTCTTTTAAAGTCTAACTTTTCTCCCTACGGCAAACAATTTCCCGGAGGCTTAGCCACTGGAAGATTTTCTGATGGAAGAATTCCTTCTGATCTAATAGGTAAACTTTTGAGTTAATTTTCCATTTATAATATATTAAAAGAATAGCTTTGATTTATCTCGTGATAAATTTGATTTCTACAATTTTATTCAGCTGAAAAGTTGGGATTGACTAAGACATTGCCAGCTTATTTAAATCCGAATTTGAAGCCTGAAGATCTTCTTAAAGGTGTAACATTTGCATCTGGAGGAACTGGTTATGATCCATTAACATCTAAGCTTATGGTATGGTATTATATCATATTTTTACTTATTTTCATGATGTAAGTGATATATACTCCATTATTTTGACCTTTTTTGTAGTCAGTCATTTCGTTAGAGGATCAACTAATATATTTCAAAGAATACATATCAAAGATCAAGAAACATTTTGGAGAAGAAAGAGCTCGAAATATTATTTACCATAGTATATTTCTCGTTGTTTCTAGTAGCAATGACCTTGCTCACACTTATGTAGCTCGATCTCACCAATATGATCGTACTTCATATGCTAATTTCTTAGCTGACTCAGCAATCAAATTCCTAAGAGTAAGTACTTTATATTTATTTAAATATAACTATATCAAATATATGTTCAATATATATTATTTTTACATAATATTTAGGAATTACATAAATGTGGAGCTCGAAAAATTGGAGTTTTTAGCGCAGTAGCTGTTGGATGTGTACCATTTCAAAGAACAATGTTTGGAGGTCCGTTAACAAGAGGATGTAATAAACCTTTGAACAATATGGCAAAACAATTCAATTCTAGGCTTTCTCCGGCATTGGATTCTTTAAACAAAGAGTTGGATGGTATTATCCTCTACGTTGATGTTTATGATACCTTTTTCGACATGGTTCAAAACCCTAAAAAATACGGTAAGTTCATCGTACAACAACTATACATTTTTTTGTATAATATAAAGTAAACTCTCATTATAAAAAAAATGATCCTATTTAATTATCAGGTTTTGAAGTAGCTGATAGAGGATGCTGCGGTATCGGTTCACTCGAAATGTCTTATCTTTGCAACTCGTTGAATCCATTCACATGTTCGAATTCTTCGTCACATATATTCTGGGATAGCTATCATCCAACCGAAAAAGCTTATCAAGTCATCGTTGATAATTTATTCGACAAATATATAACCAAAGTCTTCTGATGATGTTACATCTTTAAGTTTCATTGTACATTTCTCCTTCTCGTTCTTTTTATGATTTTATCTATAATGCTCAATAAAACACAACAATTATACTAACACTGAAAATAATAATTGTTACCAAAAATCAAAACAAACAAAATACTGTAATTAACAAAAATAGTGCAACTGTTTTAGTCTTCAAATTGTAAACCGGCTGCTGAATTTCGAAAAATCGAGCTTAATCTTAAGTAAATTCAATAAGCCCAGTGGGCTTTGGGCTTCATAACATCGAACATCGGCCCATAAGCGTATAGAGAACCCTAATCTTACTTGCGGGACCTATAAATACAGAAAACCGTCTCCGCGAAGGTTTTTACTGAATCGAAAATGGCGGAAAGAGGTGGAGAGCGCGGCGCAGAGCGTGGCGGTGACCGTGGAGGTTTCGGGCGTGGATTCGGCGGTCGTGGAGGAGGACGAGGCGGTCCCAGAGGCCGTGGTGGTCGTCGTGGAGGCCGTGCCACCGAAGAAGAGAAATGGACTCCGGTGACCAAGCTCGGCCGTCTCGTGAGAGAAAATAAAATCACGAAGCTGGAGCAGATCTATCTCCATTCTCTCCCCGTGAAGGAGTACCAAATCATAGATCTCCTCGTCGGACCGACCTTGAAAGACGAGGTGATGAAGATCATGCCGGTTCAGAAGCAAACCAGAGCCGGTCAGAGGACGAGGTTCAAGGCCTTCGTCGTCGTCGGAGATGGTAACGGACATGTTGGATTGGGAGTGAAATGCTCCAAGGAGGTTGCGACTGCGATTAGAGGCGGAATCATTCTCGCGAAGCTCTCTGTGATTCCGGTGAGGAGAGGTTACTGGGGAAACAAGATCGGGAAGCCGCATACGGTTCCTTGTAAGGTGACCGGAAAGTGTGGATCCGTGACGGTGAGGATGGTTCCGGCTCCGAGAGGTGCTGGGATTGTGGCGGCTAGGGTTCCGAAGAAGGTTCTTCAGTTTGCTGGGATTGATGATGTCTTCACTTCCTCCAGAGGATCCACCAAAACCCTCGGAAACTTTGTCAAGGTCTCTTTCTCTTCTTCTTCTTCCTTTTAGCTGAGATTTGAATTTTGTGAATTTGAATATGCAAATGTGAATTTAGCTGGAAATAGGATTGTTAGTGTCCACATTTGCTTGCTTGTTTTCTGTGATAATGATGTGATAAAGACTTGAAATTTGCATTTTGTATGATTCGTAATTAACATTACATTATGTAGTTGTAAATGTCAATTGGAATTTGTACATTATTTTAGAAAAGATGTTCTTGATTATGTGCAACACTATTGCTTAATGATTTTGTTATTAATTGCTTAATGGTTGTGTTGGTGATACTTCGTTGCAGGCTACATTTGATTGCCTACAGAAGACGTATGGGTTCTTGACACCAGAGTTTTGGAAAGAGACGAGATTCTCCAAATCGCCATACCAAGAGTACACTGATCTCTTGGCTAGTAAGCAAGTCGCTGCACCCAAGGCTATCGCCGACGCTGAAGAGAATGCTGCTTAAGACTCCTCTTTTTCTCTGATAAAACCACCTTTGATGGGATAAGTTTCGGTTTCTGATTTCTCGTTTGTATGACGGATTTTGTGATTGGAAGTTTTTAGTTATGTTTTTGGGATATTTTTGGTTAGGTGTTTGGTTTTTGTGCAAATTTCAGTGAAATGGGCAATTTAATCTTCTGCTTTGTTTCCCATAAAGCTTAAACAAGTCAACTAATTGGCTAATTCAACATAATATGTGGTTTGCAGATTACGACGAAACTGTATAGTTTATGTTTCAGAGAAGTAGAGACGTAGATCAAACCAAGCTAAAACTATATACATATACGAACTATGAACTAGGACACTCAACCATAATGTTAGTCTGTGACAAGAGAAGTAGCTGGAAATTTGTTTTCGTTTTCCAAATAAGAATTCGTAATGAGAACTCTTTAAAGCAAAGACTTGGAGGTAACACTAATATAATTCTGTTAATTATATTTTCGACTAATTTTCTTGCTGATTTCTTGATATCTTTCGAAAATAATAAGAAATCAGTTGGAACTTTCCTACACGAATGTTCTGACAAATTACGATGGTTTCAAAAAAATTATTTATTTTGGTTATCAATTTCAGCTCATTTAGGATGACAAAAATCCATCAAGTATTGCATCAGAAACATACTGGGCTCAGCTATACCGAAGGAGGTTATGTGTACATAAGACTGAGTCGGTCTTTCTGGCCCTATAAACTTTTCTGTGGGCCTTATTTTGTATATATATATACACAAGGCTCGGCTTGGCGTTTCCAGGAAGATTGTTCCGCAAGTAAGCCTATCAAGGCTGATGGTTAATTTGGAGGAAACAGAAAAGCCGATAGCGTCTTTGATGGAAGCCGCCGCAAAGATGGATCTCTCACAAGTCACAACTTGAGGCTTTCCTCGCCGAAGACCAGTCAAGTGAAATGCGGTGTGAAAATTCGGCTGTTTAATCGATAACCACACAAATTTATTTTCAGTTTTGTGCTTGTTTTGTTAATTAACAGTTGGACTTGTGGAGATTGAACCTTTACCTTGAGACCGCATTTTCCGTAGTATCATTACAATGGTTGCCGATGTTGAAGAAAACTACTTTGTCCAAGATGATCGATGTGAGACATTTCTTTTACCGCTTTTGTGAGGTTTTTTCAAACCAAGTTCTTGAAATCTGATTCTTACTAATGAACAAGTTCCAGTATCTCATATTCCTAAGTCTTGTCTACGAAACATCAGCCGATTGGATCAAGAAACTTCAAACTAATACACACTCGAACTTCGTAGTGTGGTCGCTTGATCGCATTCTCAAAGAAGATGCACATGTAATTTTGTAAAAAGCAACTTTAACACATGCATGTGTGGATTGAATGGTGTCTTCAGTGTCTAACTTGTTTTTTTACGATTAGGTGGCGGCGAGAGTTGTTGGATTAGCCATGGTGTTGCGTAGTAAGCCTGATGCTTTGAAATTGTCGATGCTGATGTGGAGACCTAAGTATCACGGCGAGGACAAGCTTCCGCTTGTAGCCTGATGCTGGCTCAGGCCTCCCAAGGTGATTTATCTGGTGGCTTGTATTCATGGGCGCATGTCTTTGTACCAGTAGTCTTTGGTGATAACGACTGCTGCAGCCCTCACACAGTTGATTTCATCCTGCAGTTTGTTGAGATGTGAGTCCAATTTAAACTTGTCTTTTTATGTGTCAATTTTCAAAACTACATATCTAATTTTAAGAAATACACGTTCTAATTTTAAATTTTAGGGTTTATATTTTAGGGTTTTTTGGTTATTGAAAATAAACACATGTATTTTTGAAAATTGGCAATGTAACCTAAAAAGTTAGAAATTTCGCCTTTTTATTATTTAAAATAACTTTAAACCCTAAAATATAAACTTAAAATCTTAAATTAGTGAACCCAAACAGTGAAAATTGTTAGTTCGGCTGTATATTTATGATGTAACAACCATCTCAATTTTCTATTTATCAGCATTTTGTCAAATGAAGAGGCTCGGACCATGCTTGTAAGTGCTCCTGCTAGGGAGGTAGTGCCGCTGATTCCACTTTCTTCCTTTGAGATTGTTGGGCTTTCATAAGCCCAATCCAACTCCCCCACTAGTATGATATTGTCCGCTTTGGGCTCAAATGGCAAAGCCCGCACGGATTTCTCTTTGGGCTCCTCCCAAAAGGCCTCATACTAGTTGGAGTTGGACACTGCTTATATATTAGACACTTCTTGTCTAAACTTCCGATGTGGGACTTGATTGATATCTTAACAATCCTCCCCTCAAGCCAAGGACCACATAATCCCGTGGCTTTCCACCTTCAACAATACCTGGCACCCTACTTGTACCGCCGTAATTACCAACGGACCTCTTCAACTAACCCTTGGCCTTGTTAGGAAGACTTTCAACACAAGGACCGGCACCCCTAATCGCAAGGTCACCTTTGAGGGCTCCTCCCACCACGGAACACGACCCACCCACTTGTCCCTAGGTCCGCCTTTTCGAACCTAGCTCTGATACCATTTGTTGGGCTTTCATAAGCCCAATCCAACGCCCCCACTAGTATGATATTGTCCGCTTTGGGCCCAAGTGGCAAAGCCCGCACGGATTTCTCTTTGGGGTCCTCCCAAAAGGCCTCATACTAGTTGGAGTTGGACACTGCTTATATATTAGACACATCTTGTCTAAACCTTCCGATGTGGGACTTGATTGATATCTCAATAATCCTCCCCTCAAGCCAAGGACCACATAATCTTGTGGCCTTCCACCTTCAGCGATACCTGACACCCCTACTTGTACCGCCGTACAATCCAACGGAACTCTTCACCTAGCCCTTGGCCTTATTGTTAGGAAGACTTTCGGCACAAGGACCGGCACCCCTAATCGCAAGGTCACCTTTGAGGGCTCCTCTCACCACGGAACACGCAGCAGCCCACCCACTTTTCCCTAGGTCCGCCTTTTCGACACCTAGGCTCTGATACCATTTGTTGGGCTTCATAAGCCCATTCCAACTCCTCCACTAGTATGATATTGTCCGCTTTGGGCCCAAATGGCAAAGTGCGCACGGATTTCTTTTTGGGCTCCTCCCAAAAGGCCTCTTACTAGTTGGAGTTGGACACTGCTTATATATTAGACACTTCTTGTCTAAACTTCCGATGTGAGACTTGATTGATATCTCAACAATTGGTATCGCTGAAGGTAGAAGGCCACAAGATTATGTGGTCCTTGGCTTGAGGGGAGGATTGTTGAGATATCAATCAAGTCCCACATCGGAAGGTTTAGACAAGATGTGTCTAAATATAAGCAGTGTCCAACTCCGACATTCCGGTAGGAAGGCCTCCTTTGTCTTCGTCTAAGAACGCCTTTGCTAGTAAGGGCGCAGGAAAAGCTCGCGAAATAGCTGAGTAATCCAGTGAGACTCAGCAACAGCTGTAGAGTGCGAAGATGCGTTGGTCGTGAAGGGCAAAGTCCCGTTCTGAAGCACAAGCACAGTTATTAATGGTGCTAGAGAGGTTTAATGTCGAGCTAACGCTACTTCTGAGCTGCTAGGTGTAGTATAAGGCCTTTTGGGAGGAGCCCAAAGAGAAATCCGTGCGGGCTTTGCCACTTGGGCCAAAGTGGAATTAAATTATATTTAAATTATTTATTAAATATATGACTATTCATATTTCTTTACATTTATTCATATTTAATAAAAATATACAAATAAATTAAATAAGTAATTAATAGAAAGTATGTGATAATTTGATGTTAAAAGTTATCAAAAAGTTGAATATAAAATAGAGATGGAGTAAAGAAATATTTAACTTCAAATAATATATATTTACCTTTTTATTCAAAGGATTTATCATATTTAAAAATGTTATAATGTGTTTACAAGTTAAAAAGTTGAATATAAATTAATTAAGATAATAGAAAGCTAATAAAACATTAGAGTTAGAGTTTGTTTTTCTAAACAAATAGAAATGGAGTTTTATATGTAAATTTAATTGTAGTGAAAAACAAGAATATGTTTACAAATTTTAACCTTTAGTCAAATGCATATACATATTTATAAATTTTAACCTTCAATCAAATACATATACATGTTTACAGTCTAATAGAAGTAAAAAAAAAAGTAAACAAACATAATATTTATAACATGATAAATTTTAGAAATAGAAAATTCGAGATAAAGCGGGGAGTTAATATCCTAATAAATTAAAACAAAAAACAATCATGCGCTTATGCAGGGCTTCAAACCTAGTGTCAATAACTAAGTTCAGGCTGCGATTATTGAAGAGTTTTACTTGTAAGACTTTTTAAATAATGGCTGCCAGAACTTTAGAATGATTTCTAAAACTAAAACTAAGAAAACAAAAATTAAACTTCTATGGACTTTTTAGTACAAATCAATTAAAATCGTCGGAATATTGTTAACCTACAAAAAGTTGGAACCTCCACAGGCCCATACTTCATTAGTCTTGGCCGAGGGCCAAATCTAACTATGCGGACGTGGAATTGTTATCTTTCTCTTTGGAATGAGTGCAATTATACTACGTGTCGTTGTTGAATTGGTATGCCAAAAATTACCTTCTCGTCCGTTTTTTCTATTCGGATTCTAAGATATTGTTATACAAATGACAGGTTGGAATTTGTCTAATCTTATCCTATTATCTTTTTACTAGATATTGTTAACACCTCATTGGTGGTAAATCACCCTTAATATATCCTTCTAATCAACTATTGGTGCACAAATATTTGCTTATCCCCTAGTGCATTAACATTCCCAAAAGTTAAAATTTATCAAAAAAGCATATCTATGATTCTTTAATGATGTTAAAAGGTAAAACTATCAATACTTACAATGTCACTCACTATATATATGCTCCCTCAAAGACTCCTACCAACCCAACAAAATATAAACAAATACCATTTTCTCTCTAAAACTGAATAATCTGAGGGATAAGATAAACCAAAAATCATCAGCCAAGTTTTACAACTCCAGCAGTCATGAAACCAGATAATGATGCTGAGCCGGAAGAAACTCACGGCGAAGTTACTACTGATGGTAAGTTTGAACGATACAATGTACTTGGACAGATCTTCGAAGTTACTGCAAAGTATAAGCCACCGACCGACCCTATTGGCAGAGGTGGTTATGGCTTCGTTTGGTAATTTCCTTTTCTCATGTTTTTTACTTTTCTCTGTTATTGTTTGTAAATTTTGTGATTGGGTTCTGTAAAGTTTCAATCTTGAAAAAGCCACAACTTTCGTTTATGTGAAATTTCCCAAGTTCTTAAAACACTTGCGTCATGTATAGCGATGTCACGCTAGAAAAACGACGTGAAAACATACAAATTTTTGTGGTTTTTTTTGTTTTCAATAGTAAAAACTAGTGGAAAAAATAATAAACCATTTATGATCTTTGTGTTCTTATAGTTGAAGATCATTAACACATATATTTTATTTTTTACAGTTCGGTTACGAACTCGGAGACAAATGAGAGAGTCGCTGTAAAGAAAATCGTAAATGCATTTGTTAACCAAACCAATGCAAAGAGAGCTCTCCGTGAAATCAAGATTCTCCGTCACTTGAAACATCACGACAATGTCCGTTTGATATCTCAACAGAGATCTTGGTGCGGTTTACATTCCCTAGACTAGAGGAGGTAAGCACTAGTAGTGTTGGAATTTATAAAACAAAACCTTGATGCGTTTGTTTTGTAGATTCTGATCTCTTGTCTGTATGCACACAGGAGGATACAGAGAGGTTTGATGCAGTTTATTCCTCGTTGAAAGAGAGGTTTGAGGCAGTTTATCCCTTGTTAAAAGAAGTAGCCCTTGCACCAGGAGGAAACGACGTGACACAGATATTCACTCTTTCCTTGAAATTAGTTGACGAAGGTGCTAGTATCAAACGAAACCTTGAATCCTAGATTTTTCTTTCTGCTTCCCTTGTAATGTGTTGTTGTTACAGGAAATCCTGGTGTGGCCGAGGAAGCTGCAGCAATCGCTATATAAGGGGTATCTAAGAGTTAGCGTTGCTCTTCTTGGAAAGCTTGTAGACGAATGGAATGATCATTCCCCTAAATTGTTATTGTCAGCAAGTGATACTCTCACTGCTATGAATAGCTTCAGGGAACAGAACGAAAAAGCCATCTCTATAAGAGTATACAATTCTTCAGTTTACGAAGAAGGTGAGAGGTACTGCAAATTCATCGCAAGGAGGCTCTTCCCTGGAGGTGGAAGCCATGGATCCACATTTAGGATGGATAAGGAAAAATTGGCTGATATGTAACAACCATCTCATCTTGTTTGCTGGGATTGATGATGTCTTCACTTCCTCCAGAGGATGTATCAAAACCCTAGGAAAGTTTGTCAAGGTCTCTTCTTCTTCTTCTTCCTTTCAGCTGAGATATGAATTTTGTGAATTTGAATATGCAAATGTGAATTTAGCTGGAAATTGGAATGTAGTGTGCACATTTACTTTGCTTGTTTTCTGTGAGAATAATGTGATAAAGAGTTGACATTTTTTTTTGTTTATTGATTCTTGATTAACATTTACGATGACATTTGTGTTTATGATGGTTGATGGAGCGAACTTTTTTATCACATCGTAAATAATTGATGGCAATAATCAACAACTGGCCTCAGCTATACCGAAGGATATATGTGTATAAAGCGGGAAACATCCATTATTTATATAAAAAGAAAGTATGTTCTCAATTGTCATATTGATATACATACGCTCTTATAACTAGGGGATACTTATATATTTCAAAATAAGTATGCAATGTGAATGTTTTCAGAATAAAGAAAATAGTTTCCTACAAACAGAACTGTGGAGAATTATCCTGTACCGTTCTCTTGCTATTTGGATTCGTTCCGTTTCATCTCATAGCATAATATATTTGATTTCATAAGATCGAATCCCTTAAAACAGTTATATTTTGAATTTACGTTTGACCTATTCCATCCTTCTTTCTCGCAGTGAATATTGAAATTCATCATCGAAATGGGTTGTTATACATGGAAGAATAAAGTTGAAGAGCCAAAGTTCATTCTTTGGGACAATGGGATTAGATCACTGCTAGGATAAAATCAATTTGTGTGTAGTTGCCCTTTGCTTTATAGTTTAGATCACTTCCACTAAACATTATCCATTGCAAATATGAGTAAAAGTAGGGCATAATGTTTGATTACTAATACTGTAATTTAAATCTCAAAAAGTAGTCTTACTCCGTTGTTCTGCTGGATAAAATCAATTTGGTATATCGTTTTAGCATATGTATTTACAGATGACCTAGGAATAAAATCATTTGTTATAAATTTAGGCTCCTCGACATTAAAAATCTGCCCTATAAAGTCTAGATTACCCAAACGTTTGATAGTTAATAAGTAATAACACAAAACAAACATTTAACCTAGGAACAATTGGCGAGACCTCCAGGCAATATGTTTTATCCCATATTGAAAAATGCAAATGAAGTCCTTTATATGAATTCAAATAAAACAATTCTCCTTAAATTCTGCTTGGATGATTGATACCAGAGACATGTAGCGAGAAACATTTGGGTTTAACTGGATCTGATCACCAAAATCTCATTCAATATAGCAATGTTATTTTGGTTAATAGTTTCACTCAATACTTAGAGAAAATGTAAAGTTGATATCTTGAGTCAAGAATATACATAATTTGAATGAACATAACTATTAACAAAAACTAGTATAGAATATTGATAATTCTTTTTTTTTTTCAACGGTTGTTCTTTTCCATTAATCATTCATCATTGATGCATGTTTTTTTCCTCAAATTAAACCAGCTTAAGTTTTTTTCTTTTATTAAAATAGTTAGGAGAATTCACCAGTCCTATACCTAAGCTTTGAACGGATACATTTAATACTAAAGCATAACTTTTTGCATTTAATCCTAAAGCAGAACTATTTGATTACCATTAGTCATAAATTCACATACCAAACAATCATGATAAGCAGCATGAATTCTTCTTGAGGTCCATTCTCGCTAAGCCGCAAGAAAATCCATTTAGCATCATTGCACCAAATAAAACAAACACGTGAAGTAATCTTCGTATACAACTACGTTAACATAAGTTGGCTAAACGGAGAAGCTGAAGTTTAAAGGCAGTGGAGGAATGTGCTCATTTCTCAGAGTATAGAAGTTGTGTTCTTGATTTGTTTTTGGTATGAGATATATAATTTGACGAATTCGATTAGACTCATCGGTTACTTTCTTGGGAAAAGGTAAATGTGGTTTTAAGAGTTGCCATTTGACACGCTGAAACATGAAAATTTTGAAGCAGATGCAATGATATGAATGGAACCATGCCCAGGGCTAGCGAGAAGATAAAGAAGGCCTTGAACGAATCTTTTTTGAAAGATTTGAATATTACACCTAGAGATAACTCTTCTGCTTTCATTTAGATTTGAATATTACACAATAGAACCAGAAACAATCATGAGGAAACAACAACAGCTACAACACATCTTAATAGAAGTTAACAATCATGAGGAAAGAGAAACGACTTACGCATAACAGTATTTCTGGTGTCAAACAAAGAAAACATGCAAACTTTTACGTAACTTTAAATACCAGCTGGTTGAAGACATTGACATTCCGTTTCTCCACAGAGACATCGGCGACAATTTGGGCAGGACGTTTTGTTCCTTAGCCAACCCCAAAGACAATCTTTGTGAAAACGATGGGAACATTGGATCTCCACGCAACTGTTACCACCAGATAATTCTCCAAAACATATCGAACAAACCTCGGTGTTGGTTTCATCATCGGCGAGAACGCTAGTGATCAGGCCCTGAGAATCCGAGACGCTGGTTTCGAAGATTACGTCAACATCACCTTCGATCATGTAGTTTTGAAGAGCACGATTGATCTTCAAACACTCAGCGACTTGGGGAGAGATCACACCGACTACCCGTTCCCCCACCCAGCTCTCTAGATCCATCCCTGAATTTCTCAGCTCTAGCTCAATATCTTGATCGGGCAGTACACCACCGGGGGTGATGAAGAAGTCGCCTCCGACTCTTTGTGGAGGAGAAACCAGCCTGTGTTCTCTTATTGTTAGGTACTTTCTTCCTGACGATGGCAAGTGAACCGTTTGTCGGAAGATTCTTAGCTTGACACTGATTGTGAGTCCTGCATGTGTTGCTGAAAAGAAAATGGGATCAGCAGTGGTTGTTAGATTTGATTTAACTATTGTTTCCTCCATGATTGAGAGAGAGGCTGAGAAGAAGAAATGTGTCTGACTTAGATTTGTTTGAGCTATATATAGTCAAGCTAGGGAATTTAGGGTTAACACAACATATAAATGGGCCATAATTAACCCAATAACATGCCATGCAAAATTATAATTTAGTTAAATAAAATGAGATTTTTCAGTTTTTCTTTTCCTCATAAATAAAGCCATTTGTAAAATTTAATCAATATACCTTACATAAAAAAAAAAAAAACAAGTAACCAACTAACAACAAAATCTTACCACCAGAGAAAACTAATTAATATTCTTGATTAAAGAAAACTAAAAAAATAAACAACATAATCAATCATCATCATCATCATCATGAGAAGAAACAGTAGGTTTAATACATTTACAAGTCCCTTTTCCACAGAGACAGCGGCGACAATTTGGGCAAGTAATGTTGTTCCTTAGCCACCCCCAAACACAATCTTTGTGAAAAAGATGGGAACAATGGAACGCCATGCAACTTTGACCACCCGATATATCTCCTAAACATATCGGACAACTATCCCTTTTGATATCCTCCACCTTCAGTGAGGGCAAGCCGGCCAGGTCATAAGAATCAGGGACACATCTCTCGAATATTACGTCCACATCTCCTTTAATCGAGTAACCATGGTGATGACCACCGGTCATATGCGCGGCGGCCTTGGAAGTGATCAAAGCGGCTACGCGTTTTCGAAGCCAACTCTTTACCATTTTGGGCAGTGACAATTTCAGCATAGCATCAATCTGTCCATCGGTTACTGTTTCGGTGGCGATGGTGAATTGGCCTTTGATTTCTATTGGAGGACAAACAAGTTTGTGTTCTTTTATGATATTGCACTCTCGGGCTAACGGCGCCAAGCAAACTGTGTGTCGGAACATTCTGAGGTCGATAGAGACTGAGATGTCGGTGAGTGGTGGTGGAAACGCATAGGGACTAACAGTGAGATTGCACTGCACCGTGGTTAGTTCCATGATTGAGGAGGCGAGAAGAAGACAACTCTCTTGACTTAGGGTTTTGACTAGATTTTATAGCAAGCAAAATATTCTAGTGTTTTTGAGGATAGTACGACCTTTAAATGGGCTATAGTTAGCCCAATAACATAAAATCTTTTTTCCCTTTACTACAAAATTCATAATCTGATTTTAGGGCAAGCAAGAGAGATGGGAGAGAGATGCGTCGACTTTTCCAAGATTCCTCTCAGTGAAGGTCTCCTTCTTTCTCCTTTCTGTTATATTTCTCTCTTTATACGTTTCTTTTTTTTTTTCATGATCTTTGCTCTGAACAGATGGGTTCTATGCGACGAATAATCAGTTCCAGAGAACGGGTCCAAAGGGTTTTATCGAAGTCAAGGTTTTGGAGAACGAAGATCTGTATGTGCGCGTCGATTTTCCTGGCCTTCCAAGCCAGGACCTAAAACTCTCTCTCGCCAACGAGAGAAAGCTTGTGCAATTCTCCGGCAAAGGCCTAAGCGACTTTGACGACGACAAGGAAGACGTTCGTGAGTTCTATGGAGAGACCGGTCTAGGTTGTGACTGCTGCAAGATCAACGATGTGACGGCCAAAGCGGAAAGTGGAGTTATAAGAATGACTATCACAAGGGTCAAGGTGAAGGAGCGGAACACCAAGTGCATCCTCACACTGCCTCCTTTTATAGGTAAATCGGGAAGACACGTGGAGGACAATCCGTTTGTGGTGAAAGGTCGTAAGGGAACATTGGTTGGGGAACCAACAGATGAAGGAGGTCTTAACTTTGCAGTAGACGTGCCAGGTGTTTGTGCTGATGATATAGAAGTGATTGCTCAAGGGAATGAAGTTCGGTTCTTTGCTGATACTAAGGATGATGATGAAGGTGTTGGTGTTCGTTCTTACGAGGGAACCATCATCTGTCCTAACGATGCATCTTCACTTGCCGACTCCGTTGGCTGGGATGTTGAATTTGGTGTTCTCAAGATTCTCATTCCACCACCTACCAAAAAAACAACAACAACGACCACTAATTAATCACTCTATCTTATTATCTTTTCATTTCACATAACTTATCTTTTTAAAAAAAATTGGTTACATTGCCTAGCTAGTAGCCTAGTACTACCAGTGTGTGTTTAAGTTGGTTCAAATGTGTTTGTGTCCTGATTTTGAGTTTGCTATCATGAAATCCAGTGATCGTGTCATACCAATCTTAAAATAAAAATCAGCTAATTGAATTTACACTAATAGTTTTACCTATCTTTTCAAAGCTCCAACGTTTTCTGATTTTCCTCAGCCAGTTATCAGTTACAACAAGATCACAAACTAGTATCTCTATATAGCTTGCATTTGTGTCTCTAGTTTCATCTTTGAGAGAGAGGGACTTGCGATTTCTGATGTGCTAAGCTTTTGTTCTTCGCTTTTGGATCCATTTTACCTTTTTTAGCTTATTTCTTTGTGAATTTGCATACATGTGTGTATATATAAGATGTGTTATTCAAGGTGACTTATAATCAGTATACAGTGGCAAAAGGGCAAGCTCTCATAGGCACTGGTCAATGGGCCGAAGCCCCGTGGTACAGTAGACCTAGGTTTATCGGATTTTTTCTTTGGGGCTATATATAAGGTTCATAAGGGTTTGTAATACTTTATCACACGAGTAATAAGAAAACCCTAACGGGGTATATTACCTCAATCTCTCTTCTCTCTTGTTTTATTCGCTCCAAATAAAAACAAGAAATGGAAACAGATTTTGGAACTAGTGTATACACACAATGACTAAGCTTTGGAAGGATGCTCAAGTTAGAAACCTAGAACTAGTGTATACACACAATGACTAAGCTGTGAAAATTTAGTATATATATTTTTTTTTTCAAAAAAGACTTTAAAGTTAGAAAGCTTTGGTTTTGATTATAAAATGTAAAAACAACTTTGGTTTAACTTTTCCATCTTTTATTGTGAAAGTACATACGCGCGCGTTTGTTTAAAGTTTCTCAAAATTATCCTTTTACCATAATCATGAGAGTAGAAAGCTCCTCACAATTATCCCTTTAACATAAACAAAAACACATACAGTAAGTTTGTTTGATTGCTTGCTCTACAAGTTTGTTTATTAATCCTTGGCTATCAAGTTACTGTCGCAGTTCAGACTTGGGAGGAGTATCAACGTACAAGACCATTTCACGTTTAAAAGTATTTAGCGGAGAACAAAAAGTTTTTGGACGTATTCAAACACAATAAAATTCCAAGTTACTGAAAATTCTTAGAACTCAAAATTTATTTTATATTTTCTTGAAAATGAAAACTCAAAATTCCAAGATTAGATATCAACTATTCAAATCTTGTTTGTAGTGCAAAGATCTAAATTAGCAAGATGTGATTTTACCTAAACAAAATATAAAATAGTACCTAACCCTAACCCCCGATCAAATCCGTCCCTAGGTAGAAACAGATTTGGAAGGATCAAAGATTTGACCAACAAACAAAACGGTTCCAGTATAGTCTTCTCTAATCAAAACAACAAATGGATGATCAGCCACAAAATCTATATATGTCCTCTTGATGTAGGTTCTACGGCCTCTAGGACCTCCTTTTGTAACCACAGCAGCTTCTGCACCATCTTCATCGATCTCAACCAAAGCTTTATGGTGCAACGAAACCGAATCCAGTTTCATTTCACTGAAAGCCTTTGAAGCCTCAAACCCGAATTCGATCTTAAACTTCGGGATCCCGAACTTACCAAGTATAACTTTTTGGCTTGGAATGTGACTATCCAAGAATCCACTAGTAGATGCCATTCTCTTCACAAGATCGTCCAATCCATCATTTGCTTCGGGGAGATAGAAATACATTGAGAATTTGCGGTCCGTATCGCCGGATTGTGCAAACGGGAGCTTAAGAACCTTGAAACCGTCGTAAGACTCTACGTATTTCATCCTAGTGCTCTCCATGAAAGGCACAGAGACTGAAGTGCCATTGAGAAGGTGAAACTCTTCGTCTCTCGTCAAAGACTTTGGGAATGTGTGTTCCCATGCTCCTTTGAAGTACAATGCGTTTCCATAAATCACGTCGGTGTCGCTTGTAACGGATCCATGAGGAAGAATGTTTTGAATGAGATCATTTGTGTGACGTGAAGCCCACGCATTTACTTCCTTACGCACTTCTTCACCCTATTTCACATCTCACAAAAATTGATATATATATATATATATCAGAATTTGTATATAAGACTTACAGTTTTGAATAAAAAAACTAAAGTCTAAAACGTACATGCATGTAACCACAACATGTAATATTAGTTAGTTCGGTTATACAGTTTTACATACTCTTAACCTAATATAATAAAAAAGATTTCGAAAATGAAAAGATACAAACCTTGAATCGGAAATCAACTTGAGCGAAAGAAGCCTTGAAGAAATTCTCAAAGAAGTCCTTCAAGGAGGGATTAAGAGATAGAGATTGCTCCATCCACACTCCATTAACGGCTGAGATCTTAGGGCCACCGCTCTTGACGACTGTAGCCACCTCGCGGAAAACGGCGTTGAGCTCATCCATTGAGGAAGACCTAAGGATAGAGAAGATGAAGGATCTAAGTGATTCTTCTTCAGAGCTAGCGGCGACCATGGTGAGAACGGCGTTGATTGATGCCGGAGAGAAGACGAAGTTTGAGTTCTTGGCTACGGCTGAGATTACTTTCTCCGCAAGGAACATAGCGACATCGCTCTGTTTATTCATTGCGTTGACCACATTAATCTCTTTTTCCTCTGGTTCCATCTTTGCGAGAGAAGGACTTGCGCTTTCTGATGTGGTAAGCTTTTGTTTCTTTTTCTTCTTCTTCGTCTCTGGTTCCATCTTTGAGAGAGAAGGACTTGCGTTTTCTAATGCGCTAAGCTTTTGTTTCTTCTTCCTCTTCTTCTCTGGTTCCATCTTTGCGAGAGAATTAGGAACTGCGATTTCTGATGTTATAAGCTTTTGCTTCTTCGTTTTTGGATCCATATTTTAGGGTTTCTGCTTATTTGAGTTATTTCTTTGTGAGCATACTCATACATGTGTGTGCATATATAAGATGCTCAAGATAGAGCTAGGGTTTGGTGTATCGACGGCACATTCAAAAGGGAAAAATTGTCATATATATATTAATGTGATAAGAAAATATGTAAATTTTGGGTTATTCCTCACTACCAGAAACTTTAAAAAATTTCCATTATTCTTACTTCTTCAAAAACTTTCCCCATTTCTAAACTTTTAGTATTTTTTAGAATTTTTTTTGTAGTACTTTTGACATTCTTCTGAATTTGTGGTATTTTTGGAACTAATCATTGTTTTATGATAACTCTAAGCAGCCAAACTTTACCAGCTTATCTCACCAAAGGACTATATTAATCTGTGCAATTTAAGCTGTGTATACGCAATAACAAAGAAGATCATAAGCACAAAGAGCTCTTTTGCTCTTCCTCCAATTCCATTATGAAAAAAAACTATTTCTTCTTCGCAAGAAAATATAAGTACATGTACATTTTTGCACAGTTCCATTTCCTTTCCTTTTTGCAGTCACTATAAATGTAATGTACATCTTCATCTTTAAAGCAAAGAAGCCTGTACATGCTTTAATGCTTTCCCCACCCAATTAGTTTCCTAAAGTTCTAAAGAAGAAAATGATAAAAAATGTCGAGTGAGTGAGTCATTTTATGTACCCATTGTAATTCCTTTTGGAGCTGAGCATGAATCTGTTCTCTTCAACAGAAACTTAAAAGAGAGCCATAGTGGCCGAACAAAGCACATAGCATCATTACTTCACTAGTTCCGTTTGTGAAGTTCGATCATCTTTGGCGTAAGATGCTCCGGTGAAGAAGCAGTTGGACACGACTTAGCGTCAAGCTCTTGACCATTCTCACTGCCATTAAATCCCCATAACTCTTTAGCTATCGCATCTCCTTCCTCTGTATTAAGGTAAAAAAAAGTGTTAATCTCTCTCTAGTGAATTCTTAAAATGGTAATGATGAAAGAAACTCAAACCTGGCTTCAATTTCTCAGGATCTGGCAACTCCTGGTTCTTGAAAGGAGCACTGCTCTCACCGTTGTTGTTGTTGGATGATTTCTGAGTCGGGTGTAATGGAATCTGAGAGTATACATTATGCAGTTTCTTATGTAACTCTTCCATCTTCCCTGACATTTCATCAGCTCTGTCCATATCTATAAGAACCTGAAAAAGAAAATTATTTGATCAAACACCAAAACCAGAGCCAAAAACATAAAAAGCTTTTTGGTTTACGTTTGATATTGATCTTACCTGAGCGGGATGTTTTTGGAAAATTGGCGCAAATCTCTGTCGACAATACTCACTGAAAAGCAGAGTGAGAAGGATTAACGGTATGGTGAAACCGGAAGCAACTGTTGATAGCTTTATCCCGAAGAAACCTAACGCTATGATCTGTGTCAAGATCAGTGAAAAGATCGTCGTGTTGTGGAAGATAGGCCAGTATTGTCCTCCGCTTTCGTACTTTGTGATATACACGTTGAGTATCTGCAAAACAAGAAACAACTCTGTTTAAAACCAAAAGCTTTCTTGTGATGTTATCACAAACACACACTTACCTGATTTTTGTATATTAGATATGCGAGGAAGAAGTATATCAGCAGGAAAGGCAGTATGAGTGGCGCTATGACTGAGTTGGTGAAACCAAGGAGTCCAAAGAGAAGCAGCCGAGGAACTTCTGTATGGTATGGGAACCTAAGGGTTTCATATGAGTCGTCCTTGTACTGTGTGATGACTTTTGCTGCCAGGTTCCATATAAGAGCCGTGGGTTGCATTATTTCACAAGCTAAACTTGCCCAACCAGATGTGAAACAATAGGTCATGAATAAACCAGCCTGCACAAATGGTTAAAGCCAAATTCAGAATCATTTAAACATTTTGAAGTTTCCTAGTAGAGATTGAAACTTACCTGTGTTGGAACAGCTCTTGCAAGTTGTGCAGGAATGTCTCTGACACTAGAGAAGACATTCAATTGCCTGATGATGGATCCTGATAAGATATTCACGAAGAAGACGTTCCAAATTGTGAAATACAGGACTTTGATGCAAGCGCTCTTCTTTCTTATACTCCGTGAAATACATCCCTCCAAGGCTGAAAAATACATCATCAATGGTGGGACGGCGTAGAAGAAGAGAATCAAGATCACACTGGGTAAGTACCCTGTGATGACCTGGCTTATAAACTTCCTGCAAAATGGTGGATTAACTTTAGAGATGACAAAAACAATTCAAGAGCATATATACATGGAATCTGCAGAGGTACTCACTTCTGCAAGATGGCACTTAGAAAAGGAAACGCGTGAGAGAGCTGGTCTAGTTGAGTCAGACCTTGAATGAAAGTAACCGGAATAAGAAACACAAACATGAAGGCAACAGCACCAACAAGAGTTGCTATTTTCCGTATCCAAAGTTGTCGATAAGGTATGTTGAGATTCCTCCAATACACATCGTGAGGCTCTGGAGCTAAGTCTGTTACCCATAGCATTGGATTTGATGATTGTAGAACCTCTGAGACAACAAGAGCGTCGTAGCGTGTCTTGAAAAACACAAAAGCAGATGGACGTTCCTGCAAATGAGAAGAACATTGTGTGGCTTTAATTAACCATTCGCCTACTTCTAAAGCTCTCTAGCACAAAAGACAGAAGGATATTTCTTACTTGCTCTGTGGTAGTCATAGTCAACTCGCCAAGCTCCATTCCTTTCACACTTTCCTCGTTAGAGAGTATATGAAAAGAGTTTGTGGCTGTAGGTCCTCCGCAAAAGGTGCATGGAGTCAAACTCGGTCTACAATTGATTTCAGGAGACATGTGTTTAAGACTCAGGCACATCCTCTCTGCATCTTGCTGAGACATAAAAATATATAATCTACAGGTCAAAAAAAATTTCTTCAACACAGAACACTGAATCTCAAATAAGTTATCCCAAGCACACAGCATCCACATATCATTTACTAAAATTTCTAACTATTATATTTTTGATTCCCACATGGGAGTACAAACAAAGTTTTTCTGAAAGATCCTTTTACACTCCAAGATAATCTGCATCTAAACTGTATCTTCTTTCAGCTGATACTCAGAACTAAATTTTACACAACTACAGAGTCTATCAACCACAATGAATACCGAAAGAAGATGAAACACATAAAGCAGGCAAACTTTTCAAAACATTTTCACAAAGAGAAAAAACAGCTTTTTCAAAACAAACTCTAGGTGAAAGTTCTAATCTGAAAAGATATACCAAGAGGAAGCTAGCTGAATAATATTCTAAAGCAAAAAAAGATAAGTGACTGGTCCCAGGAGACTAGGAGAGTACATACCAGCAGTCTCTGAATGATACCACTATGGTAAACCATTTGGTGGGACATATAGCTTGACGAATAGTAATTTGTGAAGTACTTGCTCAGTGTGTCACTGTAAGATTGCTCAGGAGTCCATGGAATAGCACGAATAAGAACGGTGAATTGACTTGGCTTTGAGGCCGATCCAGTAATATGTCCAAGCCTCATTTTGGCTATGGTCCTATACTCCTACAGTAGACAAAAAAATGTCAAAAGAGGGCAAGAATGAAAACGAAAATAAAATGAAGGAACCAAGAGTATGAGATAAACTAAGGTAAGAGGTCCTCACAAAGTAGAGAAGAAGACATGCTGCTGATGTTATAATGTACAGTGCAAGACAATGAACCCACAGCCTGAGAGTAATAAAATTACAACAAAAGATCAGCACTTTACATTCTTTGTATTATTTATCAGTGCAATCTGTCAAAATTAAAGCCATTTACCATTTTGATCCTTCTCTAAGATTTTCGATTGTGAACACTTCGGATGACTCCAAATGGATTTCCTTATGCACCATCGGTTGCCCATAATAGTTAACAGGCAGCACAAAGGCAATGCAGACAACAGCAGTGATGAAGAAAATACGAATACTGCAGAAACAAAACAAAAACATTAAAGCAAGAAACAGAGCAAAAGAAAACGAATTTGGGAGAGTGATTGAGTAACCTGAAAATGACCATCCTGAGGAAGACAACAGCATCAAGACCAGCAGCAGCTAACAACTCATCTTCACTAGTTTCCCATGCTTTCACAAGCCAACTCGGAGACGGCACAAACCTCTCATACCAAAAAGGATCATAACGTCTGGCTCCTCCACAAACAAGCCTCCGCCCGAAATACACACAGTAGTTTGCTGGTTGTTTCCTAAGTATGGAGTAAAGTGACAGAAGCACAATGCAAATCGAAATATTGATTCCAGCAGATGTTAAAAGTGCTGAAATCTCCATCCCCTTCCTCACTAACAATTGCAGGCGGGGACGAACTTCATAAGCTTTGTTACGTCGATTGAAACAGAGAGAATGGCGAAACCAAGCAATAAAAGGAGGATCTTTGATCCGCAAAAGAACTGTAACAAAGAATCACAAAAAACAAAAATCAGAAAATAAGATCTTAGGAGATGTATTGTTATGTATGCTAAAACTCAAAATTCATAGCTTTACGGATGTCATAAACGAGATTAAGCAACTTTCTGCATTGCGGATACGAAGAAATCAGAGGAATCAAAACCATAAAATCACTAATTTAAACTTGTAGAGGAAGTTAAATTGGTAACATAAGAGACAATAATCTCAGATTCAAATTCAAATCTCAAATCATCAAATTTCTCTATTCCCAACACAGTAAAATGATAACACTACGTTTTCTTCAATTTACCAGAATCAAATCTCAATGTCCAATCACAATTCCATGGCCGTAACTTCAAAGTATCACTACGAGAAACGAAACGTTGAATCAGAGAACCAGATTCGAGTAAAGCCAGAGATTCTGATTCCATACAAAGAAAACGAGCGAAATCAATCAAGCCAATAACACGACCCGATTCACAGATACAATACGAAGTGAAAACAACGTAAGAATCAAATCGGAACGAAAAAATTCGATATGACTTACAGAGAGAAACGCCAAAACTTCGCTTTGACTTCAGAGAAATTCGATTGCGAACAGAACCAGAAGAAATTTTCAGAAACCCTAAGAATTCGCAGAGAAGAGGAGAGGAAAAAAAATGAAAAGAATAAAAATGACACCAAATTGCTTTGCAAATTCCAATTTTTTTTTTGCGAAGAGTTCGCGTTCCAGTTCATATCTTAAAAGAAAAAACATGCAAATATAAAATATTAGATTAAATAAATAAAAAAATACGATAATATTAGGTGAGAAATGCGACGCTGTGTGGCAGGTGTGAGACGGGTGCGACTATTACGACACGTGTCAGGAAGATAATGGTCGATGCCCCAAGATTTGCTACTATGTGATCGCGACTACTCTATGGACGAAGTTGTGATGACCGTTGGATTTGAGGTTATTGGTGAGATAGCGACACGTGGTTTTTTTTGTTTTTTAGTGATGAGTGTATTTTTGGTGTGACGCTTTTTCTTCCAACAACGTTCGAAGTGTTGGTTTAAAAAACAGTTATGGCTTGGGAAAAAAACAAAAGGGAAATGTGAAGGAAACGTGGATTTTCACATGTTTTTCTCGCATGATGACATAAGAGTAAATTTAATGTTATAAATGAACTGGTTTTGACTATTTGAAAGTATCATACTATAAAATGTACAATTTTCTATACGTACGTTAATTAAGAAGTACCTTTCGTAGTGAGTTCTAATTAAAGAAACTAGTATGAAGGAATCTCATTAGTAATGTCACCTTACAATTAAATAAGAGAGAGAGATTTGGGTTAATAATCTAAAAGTACTCTATACAGCAATGAAAACCATGTTTCCAAAACTTTGAAATATAATATTTCTCTATTTTTCTCATATAAAAAGACAATAATTATTAGTTAAGAAGTACTTTTTTTTATAGTGAGTTCTTATTAAAGAAACTACAAAGGAATCACATTAATTAGTAAATGTCATTACAAATAAATAAAAGAGAGAATTAGTTTAATAATCTAAAACTTCTATACAAGTTGAAAACTAATACATGTTTTCAAAACTTGATACCGAAATGGTCACCAGTATGCGATAAGTTGGCCCGAATTTCTTCATGCAAACCAATGCTGCATGAAGTCAGAAAGTCGCGGCGAAGCTTGATGGACAAAAAATGTTTGCTGGTGACGACTCCAGGCAGATCTGACAATATAGTGGAGTTAATTTAATTTGAGACCATAAAAACTCAAATTTGTTTGTAAAATATTAGATACTATATTTTTAAAAATTTATTCTTTATCTTAATTATATAGGGTCAAAAATTTGAAACTATTATTTGATGAATGAGTTAGTTTTTTTGTCCATTTTATCCTCGGACCAAAGGCACTTCAAGTGATTAGTAGGTACTAGAACTTCAAATACGAAAGAACACAAAATCTCTTAATTCATGCTGGAATAGTGATTCTTCCGTATGCTAATGATTTAATAAATGAGTTTCGAAGTTAACATAAATGATTCTTGAAGTAACTAAATTGATGAGTAAATACTGAACAATACACTGAAGATTGAAAAATGAATGAATACATCAAGACAACAATGAGATGAAGAAACACACGGAAATACAAAGATATCCATATGTTTGATTTAGATGATTAGCATCAAACGAGTTTGCTTAAATATTTTTCAAGTAAGCTGTCAACAATAACTTGATAAGCTCTTTGTTGGATGGTAGCTATCCCAGAATATATAGGACGAAGAGTTAGAACATGTGAACGGATGTAGTGAGTTACACATATACGATATTGAAAGAGCACCGGTACCACAACATCCTCTGTCCGCTACTTCAAAACCTGAAACATAGTAAGAAAATTTACTTATAAAATTAGTTCCCTTATACCTAACATAAATAGAAATTTATATGCAAATATATGAACTTACCGTATTTTTTAGGGTGTTGGATCATGTCGTAAAGAGTATCATAAACATCAATGTAAAGGATAACACCATCCAACTCTTTATCTAAAGCATCCAGTGCTGGAGAAAGCCTTGCGTTGAATTGTTTTGCCATATTGTTTAAAGGTTGATTGCATCCTCTTGTAAATATACCTCCGAACACCGTTCTTTGAAGTGGTACACACCCAACAGGTACTGCACTAAACACTCCAATTTTCTTTGCTCCAAGTTTATGTAATTCCTAAGTAATAAATAGAAAATAATTAGTGTTGGATGATATTATGGTTTGGTGTTTCTTATATTTAAATAATGTAAAATACTTACTCTTACGAACTTGACAGCTGAGTCAGCTAAGAAATTTGCATAGGATGTACGACTGTAGCTAAAAGATTGAGCTAAATAAGTGTGAGCAAGGTCATTGCTACTAGAAACCACGACAAAAAAACTGTTGTCCAAGATATTTTGAGCTTTTTCTTCTCCAAAATGTTTCTTGATCGTTGCTATATATTGTTTGAAATATGTCAGTTGATCCCACACCGATATCACTTTCTACAAAACATCAAAATATTAGAAAGATTATCATTTCTAGTATGATGATAAAAATATAGTATAATATATAGTGTCAAAAAAAGGTACAACATACCATAATTTTAGCCGTTAATGGATCGTAACCAGTTCCTCCGGACGCAAATGTTATACCTTTAAGAAGGTCTTCAGGCTTCAAATTTTTATTCATATAAGCTGGCAATGTCTTTGCTAATCCCAACTTTTCAGCTGAAATAAAATTGTTCAAATTAAGAAAAATGTAGCAAGATATAAAAATAGATATACTCTTTAGGGTTAATTTACTAGATAACAATATTGGGGAAAAAACTCCACTATATAGCCATGCTATACACATAATTAAGTAACTAGCAAAGAGAAAACTTTCTTTCCTCTTTTCTTTTCTCCTTGAAATAAGCGGGAAATTTCCCACCAATATTCTTGACCCTAATTCTCATTTTGTCTTCCACCAGCCATCCTCATACATATAAAACATGAAAATAGTATAATTGGTAAGTCCACAATAACAAATAGTATAGATAATAAACTGGGATAATATGAACATGTTGTTTTCGTAATTTGCAAAGGCCAAACAAAACAAACACATGTTTGTGTATTGCATGATGTAAAATGTAGACACAGCGTCTAAATGGTAACCGCTGAATGTTGCTGAATGCGGAATCCAGCGGAATTAAATTGGAATTGTTGCAGAATCTGGCTGATTAATTAGTAATATGAATGGTAACAGCTGAATGTTGCTGAATGCGGAATGTTGTTGAATGAAGAATAAATATTTAACAAATTATTTGTATAACAAATAACAAAAAATTCACCAAATTAAGTTAAAAAAATAAATATAAAACATATAGTGATAAAATAACTAAATAATAATTAAATCAATTAAATAATTTAAAATATATATGATTTAGAAATCATGATTATAAATAATTTTTGTAACATCAAATGAATTTTAAAACTTATTATTATGAAATATCTAAATAATAGAATAATAAAAAAATTATTTAAAACTTTTAAAATTTAGGAATTTGGATCGATAATAATTTATTAATCAAAAGTTAAAACAAAAATAAAAATAATCATTTAGAAAGATTTTTTTTTATATTATCAATTTTATTAATAAAAATCATCTTTTAATTTTCACATAGTACCACATGTTGTTTTTTGTTCTTCTTACATGAATTTTATTGTTATAATTTAAAAATTTATATCAAATTAAATATATATTATAGTGAAATAATTTTATTTTTCAGTGGTATTCGAGAGTTCCCCAATTATGAAGAAAATATATATTTATGAAATAGCTAAATAATAGTTATATCAAAATATTTTAATTTAAGAATTTTTTATTCACAATAATTTATTAAACATCAAAATTTAACTCATTTAAATTTAAAACATACATTTTTTATATTAACAATTCATTAATGAAAAGCATCCCATATTTGTTGTTTTATTCCTTCTCGTATTGTTTGCATATAGACACCATCTGTTGTTTCCTCTTGTTCTTGCAAAAAAATTACTTCTTCGCCTTCTCCACCTTCTTCGCCTTCTTCACCTTCTCCATTACTATTAAACTGTTCTCGTGGTATTGCGTCAATATACGCATCATCAAAATCAAAATCTTGAATTTGAGAAAGACGAATGAAGTTATGCAATCCAGCTGTGCTTATGATAATATTGTTTTGAATTTCGACCCCATATCTGGGAAACTCTGATAAAATCCTCCATTTTTTCTTCCAAACTCCAAATGTTCGTTCAATCACTGAGCGGAGTGAAGAATGCCACCGATTAAACAACTCTTCTTCACCTCTCGGTGGGGAGCCAACTTGAAAATGTGGCAAATGATACCTATGACCTCTAAATGGAGCTAAATATCCTCTTGTATTAGCGTAACCGGAATCTACGAGATAATACTTGGATGGCGGAGGAATTGGAAAAGTTGAATCACGCTCCATTGCATAAGACAAAACTCTAGCGTCATGTACGGATCCAGGACATCCTACAAATATGTAAGTGAATAACATATCATAGTTGCATATCGCCAAAACATTAATGCTTGTTTGTGAATGCCTGTTATAAAATCGAGCTGCCTCGCCACCAGCTACCATAACCGTACAATGAGTGCCATCCATTGCTCCAATAAAACCATTAAAATAAGGCCAATATTGAGTATTATCTCGTAAACCTCGAGGTACTTGTCGGAGCTGCTCAGGAGACTGCTTCTTAAGTAATCTACCAGATAGTTTTCTGCATGCTTTAAGACATTCTTGAAATTTGCGTCCAACTGTTTCTTGTGCGCGTCCAAATAAGAGCCCAACCGAGTGTTGTGTCATGTTATGACCACATATAACAAGAAACATTGCCACTGTTTCTTCTACCGATATGTTTTTTGTGTTTCTCACTCCAAAATCTGTGTGCAATGTCTCACATAGACGTGTAAAGACCTCTATACGCATCCTCAAAAGATGTAAGCAATCTCTTGGATAGTTATAAATTCTTGTTTTTATGTTGCTCCATCCTAAACCCCATTCAGCTCCCATTGGTTGTCGATTATAATACATTTTGTAGTAATCTATCACAGGCCTGAAGAGTGCTTCCATGACATCCATGTGCTCCAGAAAAATAAGTTCAAGTAGCTCATCGTCCGTGAGGTTATGTAATCCACGTGAATATAACTCGATAATGCGAGAAACCTGAAGATAAATAATAATTCATTAATTAACACTTAAAACATCAAGAAACTAGTATCAGCTGAATAAAAAATTATATTTAATACATATTAAACATTTTTAAAATTAAAAGACTATTTTAACTAGTTGTCTCCATCATTATCATTGTTTCCAATTGTGCGATTGAAATCAGACAAATTAAAACGATCAAGTAACTCGGATGCAGACGCAGGTCTATATGCAAAACCTTCATCAGAGCTAACTCTTGGATTTGAGGACTCATCAAACTGTGGGTTAGAGTTTGGAACTTGAAATCCTTGTCTTCTTCTGAATTGGTTCGGTGAACCGGAACTTACAAATTGTGAAAACCCTCCCAAATTTGAAGTACCATCACCACCAAAATTTGAAGTTCCTCCGATGTTGAAATTTCCAGCATTATTGAATTGTGAAAACCCTCCTACGCCAGGAGAACCAGATCCACTACCAAATGATCCTCTACTACTTGGCCCGCTAGAACCACTAAGCTGACGTTTCCATGGACTACCCCGAAAAGTGCCACTTCGATCATAACCTGTCACCCCTTCGAGAAAACGAATTCTCTCTTCATTATTTTTTAGCAGCACAAACCTCTTTTGCTCGAACGGGTCTCTTAAAATCTCCGATGATGCCCACCAAAAATCTGTAAATTTTTCTATGCCTTGTAATTCATTTAGTTGCAACCATGATTCACGCTCATAATCTTCATTCGCTTGGCTACGTGCATTGAGCATCTGGATTGGAGTTTGCATAGTTGCAAGATATGACTCAATATTTGTTAGATGTGTGTCCATAACAGCTCTTCTTCGTGGAATTTGTGTTGTCTGTCGGCTGGATTGGTTTCGTCCTCTATTAGTAGTTCTACCACCTCTGTTACCATGTTGCCTAGATCGTCGGTTATGTGTAGGTATCTCAATCGGCACTGATGAGTGATTTTCCATTGGTTGTTGTGGTTGCGATTCCGGTACACCATAAGTGAAGCCTTCTTCATTATTATCATCATCATCTTCTCCGGACTCTTGTTCTTCTTCATCATTATCGCTTTCAACTATTTCATCTATTTGGCTTGCTGAAACCATATAGTCATTCACAACACAATGAGGACCAAACACTTTGTGCATCAAGTCTATGCATGGCAGAGGATTTTTTTTTAATCTTGATGCTCCTTCCGTATCCTACATTCAATAAAATTTTTAATATTTTTCAAACAATGATTTAAATTTAAGTTAATTTAAATACAATAAATAGGAAAATTAATAATTATACCTTTTTTCTATCTTCCCACCATTTTTCATCCATGGTTATTTTTCCGGTTTCTCGTTCAATGTTTGTACCAGTACGAACAACAAGTCTTTGATACACCGTGTACAATTTTTTTAAATCGTCATGTTTTTGTTTACACTTCTCCCAATCAATTGTATAGCCTGTCTGTTCACGGAACTTCCTGACTATATTATTTTTACCATCTCTATATGGTAAAGTCGAGACATAGTTTATTTTTTGTAGTTCTTCATCTAGTAATTCAATAAATAAGCAATTCATTCTTGGCAACCATCTAGAAAAAGTCTACAATTATAAATAACAGAAATTGTTAAATTAATTCCTTGTAAGTAAATATGAAAACTAAATCAAATTATATTTATACCGTATTGTTTTGGTTTGACGGTCCACTACCAGCATTTCCTGCACCGCTCATTTTCAATTCTGATAAATAAACAAATATTAAAAGTAAAAACGTTAGTTCAGAAATTTGATTTATAATATATCTAAATGTGAAAATGGTAAATTCACATGTTTTTATTATATTGTAAAAATATATGATGAACCTTATTAAATCAAAATAAAATCTATTTAAACAAAACAATAATATTTTATCATAGTCAAAGCATTTAAGCATAAATAAATAAGTGATTTGGTTTAATATTCTACAGATTATATATAATATAAAAGTAACTTATGTTTTCAAAATTTTAAAACCTAGTGTTTTAGTAATATTAAGAACAAATATATAATCATTAATCTTTGAGATTTGCGATTTTTCATGATAAGATATATATGTATAAAACTTTTAATATAAAAAAAACTAAAAGGATGCTATTTGTCTAAATTCTTTAATTTTTTGTAGTATTTATAAAAATTTCTTCTGAATAAAATTTTGTTTCAATGTTATCGCTCCTTTTTTTATTACAAGCTTTTCAGTACATTAATATAAAACTAAAATTCAGCTTGATAAAATATTATTGTAAAGAATGAACGAGTATCAACAAAAAAATGTGTACTTACTTGATTTTGGTTTTCTTGTGTGCTTTTTCTTCTTCGGACGTTTGGATCACTTTTTTTTCTTAAGGAACTAGTTTTTTCTGGGTAAATGAAAGGGTGATGATTTCTTGAATGTGCAATAAGATGCACCTCTTTATAGCAAATGTTAAAATACAGCCGTGAACTTTATTTATTGTTTTTTGATTTGTCTTTTTTCAATTATAGACATTGATTTGCTCAATTTTATCTACAAGGAAAATAAAAAACTGTATAGTTTTGTTTTTTATGTCAAATATTTAATTATTGAAAAAGAAATAAAATTCCTCAGATTTTGTCTTTTACTTAAATTCAGCTGAATTACACAAATGATAACTGGTAACTATAAATAGTATTCAGCTGTATTCTTCTACATTCTGCAAATCTTCAATACACGAGTTAGGCCCACAATGCATTCAAATGTACATATAGATTTTGACTTAGTTTCAAGAGAATCTTCTTACTATACTATACTCAGATTCATTTGTAGTCTTTGCAATACAATCACACCCAGAAAGTAAATGGGCAAGAACCTTAATCGATCAGTAATCAATCATCATAATCAATTAATAGAGGAAAAATCAAATTAATTAAAATAATTGATTAATCGATGAACATTGAATTTTAGAACTCATGGAAATTCTGCAAGGCTTCCACTACAGATTCCGTTTTAGGGTAAACTGCATAACTTTTTTTATTACAAAAGTTTAGACTCATTCACTTTCTTAAACTAAAAAAAATAAAAAAATGACTACTTTCTTAAGAACTAACACTATTCTTAATCAAGAACTATGACATGCAATATAAGTTGGACAAGGGAGCCGCAGATCTGAAGCGCTGGCGCCGGAGATCCGTCCCCAAAACCACACCGCCGTAGATCTATTCCGAACCACACCGCCACGGAAGACCTATGCCGAAAGCCGCCGAGCAAACGAAAGCAGAGGCGGAGAGAACACGGGAAACCTCACCGGAGGAGAGCACCAAGATGCCACACTCCTCCCCGAGTCAAGCCACCACGCAGGAACGCCGGAGAACGACACCACCGAGTCCAAACAGAGATTCAAAAGCTGAAGACGCGACGCCGCCGGAAAGAGAGCCACCACGATGCAAAGAGCGGAAAGAAAAAAAAGATGAATGAGAAGAAAACGCTTCCTTGATGGCGACGAGAAATCTGAAAAAAGTTTGGGTGGTGGCTGGATTTTTAGGTTTCAAACGAGTGAGAAAGAAACACCCATTTACGAAAAAGTAACATAATTTCAAAAAAATATTAAAATTTCAGATGGAGAAACTAAATTGGGAATAAGTCAGAATATACAAGCTGTATTCTAGCCATGCCTCTGCTATGGCTAGTCAGTTAATTATGCCCCAAAATATTTTCATATACTTCAATTTCCCTACTCTTTATTTATAGAAAAATGTAAAATTAATTGAAAACTTACCAATTAGATCAGAGGGAACTCTTCCATCAGAAAATCTTCCAGTGGCTAAACCTCCAGGATAGTCTTTGCCGTAAGGAGGGAAGTTGCATTTTAGAATAGTGGGAAGATTATTGTTGTTACCAGTATCCATTATTGAATCTCCAAAAACTATTAGTGATGGAATTGTTGTATTCTTTGCTGGCTTCGCTGCATTGGCTTCGACGGCTAGTAATACCAAAGCGAGACATAATATTCGAAGTTTCATTGTCTTATATCAATCTGATTTATTTACTTCTTTTTTGCTCGAGACTTCTTCGTTTTTTTTTTTTTACACATGTGAAGACATGATGAATACATTTATATATTTGTTTAAGTTTGTTTGACATCTAAATATGTATCTTTGGAACAACAGTTGTTACACGCGAAGCATCTCTAATTAGTTATTACTTTGATAATGGCGTTTCAATGACAACAAACTTTAATTGTTTTATTACCAACAAAAAAAAATTGTTATTTCTTACCAACTTGAATATACTATGTTTTGGATTTTTGCCATGGGAGAAATAAAAAGAGAAAGAAAGAGGAAGAATTTTTCCAAAAAAGAAACTATTAAACGTCTTTATGGCCTTTTTCCAGAGAGATGAAATTTTATTAGATATTTGACCTTACGTTGCTGACAAATTGACAGCTATTTCCAAAATATGACTAGACAAATTTTCATGTAAAGGTCATTTTTTATGAAATGTTAATATGTTATTTGACATGATTCACCCCCAAACAATTTAGATAAGCATATGAAGAAAATCAAAACCTATAATTTAGTATCTGTTTTGGAACACTGACTGACTGACACCAAATCGAGATATATAAGACTCTTCACGTGCGTGTTGTGTACTTGTGTATGTAAAAGAAAAATCATAGAGTTGTATTTTTGTTATAGTCACTTGCAATTTTTTTTCAAATGAAAATATGAAATTTTATCAACAAAATGAAATATATATATATATATATATTTTTTTTCTGATAAAAGCAAAATGATATATTTTGGAAACTAGTGTGAAAGGAAACGATAAAAATTAGCCGATTTTTTTTTTTTTTTTTTTTTTTTTAATAACTCAGAGGTAGATCTTGGACCAAATCTCTTGTGGGAGGTGCAGCCCACGGTTAAACTCTCTCTCCAGATATTCAAATGGACCATATCCATGTAAGTGTCTAGAAATAATGTGTTGTAGATTCGTGCAGGTGGATCGAACTTGAAACGTGTTGGCGTCCCAAGCCCGTCTCCTTACCACTTGACCACAAGACTCCAGATAATTAGCCTAATTTTTACGTTGAAACCAACGCTGCATGAGATCATAAGTTGCGGAGAGGCTTGATCACGGAGAGAAAAAACAAAAAATATATGTTTTCTAATGCTCAGGATAATTGTAGGTTCATGATGACGACTTCATGAAAATTTTGAAGACTAAAGGATTCCACTTTCTACTATCCAATGCAATTTTGTTTGTAAAATATTATACAATTTTATTTTTAATATATTATTATTTTATTTTTTGGTAAAATGTGAAGATTTTAAATATTTTCAAATTTGTGACAGATGTTACAGAAATAACTAGATAACGGAAAGACCAAAAAAACCACAAGAACAGACTTTGATTACAACAGCAAAAATGAAGAGCGAACAAACAATAAGCTAAGCACACATTACAGAGAACCGAACAAAATCCTGAGAGAAAACACCGATTCCAAATAAAAGCCCAGAAATTTGCGCTCCTCCCAAAAGTCCAAAAGAACTTGAGTCCTCATCGTAGTTACCGCAAGCATCCAAACCCGAGGCCAGCCCTCAAAACCTCACCGCGCGAGAAGATAACCTACAGCTTCTCCGAAGACTAACACAAAAGCGGAACCACTCCCACAACTCTTCATCATCTGGCGGCAAGGAAGCCTTTACGGGCAGTCGAAGAAGCCGCCTCCGACCGCCAATCTCGGGCATGTTCCAACGAGATCAGCCCCCACATAAGTTTCACAATCGCCGAGAGGAAAATCTGCCACCTCTATTCCTCAATTAATCACCATTGTCGCTGGATGGAGCCGTCCCATACGTCGAATTACCGCTCAAAAAAACTGCTGAAAAAAAGCCAAGAGAGAAACACCAGATGGATACAGAAGAGCCACACCAGATGGATACAGAGGAGCCACACCAACGGGCAACGGCTAAAAAATGAGCAGAGAAGCCACCAGTCGTCACCAAGGATTCACCAACGCAATCGGCCACCGCCCTACAACATTGGGAACAAAACGAAAGAGACAATAGGTGAGCCACCACTCCGGCACACCGGAGATCACACCATTTCTGCTGTTAACGAGAAACCAAAAGAAGGAAAACCGCCTGCTTGGATAGATTGGCGACGGAGACACGTCGTCAAAACCTCCACGACTACCAATACGACCAGATCTGACCTCATCTAAGAACCGCCTAAGACAAAGATCGGTCCACCATGCCGGAGGAAGGAGCCAAGCCGCCACACTCCACCTCCGCACCAATCATCCACAACAGTGATGAAGAACCACCACTGCAAAGCTTCATACGAAGCCGACAATAAAACCTTTGCGTTGAAAACTGAGCAAAACGGAGAAGAGGCCGAACATAGGAAAGGAAGAAGATGGGGCCTCTCCCGACGGTGGCGAGGAGCACCGGTCACTGGAGAGGAAGAAGCCAAGTAGAAGAAGAAAGCTTGACGGCAGCTGGGTTTGGGAGAGAGAAGGGGAAATAATATTCATATATTATTAATCTTGGCTATACAAGGTTAAAAGTTGGAACCGGTGCACATCGTTACATTGATCAATGAGTTAAATTTTCTCTGGTCTTGCATTATGTATTTTTGTTCATTCTATCCTGACCCATTTGAAGCACATATCAGCCCCTTGGACCCAAAGCACTTCAAGTAAGTAGGTACTAGGCCTCGTATCTTTTACTTGCTATATAAAACCAAACATATACAGACTATGTTTCGGTGTCATTTTAATTAACAGCCATTCAAACGTCGAAAGCTTTACAAAAAGTTTTAGAAAACCGCTTAATCATTTTTGATAAGGTATTGTCACAACTTAAATTTTAAAATTAAACGTTTTTAGTTGCTGGAACATTATCCAAACTATTTTTCATTGTCAGTTTAGTACACAAACATTCAAATTTCAAATGTTTAACCGTTTTTTTGTCGAAATAAAAATTTCATTAAAAACTTAGGATAATTCAATCTCCACTGACACGGAGTGGAGAGACGCTTTTGATAATGAGTCAACATAAACATTTTTAGATCTCGGAATTGAGACAAAATCAATTGCGATAAATCTTTTTGAGAAAGTGTGAATATCATGCGAAATCACATAGATCTCCTTCAGATCCACTCTGTGATTCAAGGCCTTGATAAGTTGTGACGAGTCTGAAGCGATGGTGATCTTCTCGATACCTCTTCTTTTTTGCATGGATCAGAGCTTCAACCACTGCTAGTCGTTCTGCTGCAAGCGCTGATGCAACAAATCTTTTAGACCCTTAGCCTTTGCCGATAAGCGCTTTGTCTTGGTTGTGAAGAGCCTAGTCAAATCCCGCATATCTGATGTCTAAACGCCAAGCAGCATCCGTAGAGCAAGTAATCGTGTCGGGATCGATCTAAAGGTTCAGTCTGAATCCGGGTTAGAGCAGAGGTGGAGAGATGGTCTCTTGTGCCCATAACCATTATCTGGCTGCATTATTGCCTTTATCAACATTTCTTCAGCCGTAAACAGTCTTTTATTGAAGATTTCTACTATGTGAGAGCGACTACTCTATGGAGGAACTTGTGATAACCGTTGGATTTGAGGTTACTGGTGAGATAGCGACACAGTGTTTTTTTTGTTTTTTAATGATGAGTGTATTTTTGGTGTGACGCTTATTCTTCCAACAACGTTCGAAGTGTTGGTTAAAAAACAGTTATGGCTTGGGAAAAAAACAAAAGGGAAATGTGAAGGAAACGTGGATTTTCACATGTTTTTCTCGCATGATGACATCAGAGTAATTTTAATGCTATAAATGAACTGGTTTTGACTATTTGAAAGTATCTTATTATAATAAATGTACAATTTTCTATACGTACGTTAATTAAGAAGTACCTTTCGTAGTGAGTTCTAATTAAAGAAACTAGTATGAAGGAATCTCATTAGTAATGTCACCTTACAATTAAATAAGAGAGAGACTTGGGTTAATGATCTAAAAGTACTCTATACAGCAATGAAAACCATGTTTCCAAAACTTTGAAATATAATATTTCTCTATTTTTCTCATATAAAAAGACAATAATTATTAGTTAAGAAGTACCTTTTTTATAGTGAGTTCTTATTAAAGAAACTACAAAGGAATCACATTAATTAGTAAATGTCATTACAAATAAATAAAAGAGAGAATTAGTTTAATAATCTAAAACTTCTATACAAGTTGAAAACTAATACATGTTTTCAAAACTTGATACCGAAATGGTCACCAGTATGCGATAAGTTGCCCTAATTTCTTCATGCAAACCAATGCTGCATGAAGTCAGAAAGTCGCGGCGAAGCTTGATGGACAAAAAATGTTTGCTGGTGACGACTCCAGGCAGATCTGACAATATAGTGGAGTTAATTTAATTTGAGACCATAAAAACTCAAATTTGTTTGTAAAATATTAGATACTATATTTTTAAAAATTTATTCTTTATCTTAATTATATAGGGTCAAAAATTTGAAACTATTATTTGATGAATGAGTTAGTTTTTTGTCCATTTTATCCTCGGACCCAAGGCTCTTCAAGTGATTAGTAGGTACTAGAACTTCAAATACGAAAGAACACAAAATCTCTTAATTCATGCTTGAATAGTGATTCTTCCGTATGCTAATGATTTAATAAATGAGTTTCACTGAAGATTGAAAAATGAATGAATACATCAAGACAACAATGAGATGAAGAAACACACGGAAATACAAAGATATCCATATGTTTGATTTAGATGATTAGCATCAAACGAGTTTGCTTAAATATTTTTCAAGTAAGCTGTCAACAATAACTTGATAAGCTCTTTCAGTTGGATGGTAGCTATCCCAGAATATATAGGACGAAGAGTTAGAACATGTGAACGGATGTAGTGAGTTACACATATACGATATTGAAAGAGCACCGGTACCACAACATCCTCTGTCCGCTACTTCAAAACCTGAAACATAGTAAGAAAATTTACTTATAAAATTAGTTCCCTTATACCTAACATAAATAGAAATTTATATGCAAATATATGAACTTACCGTATTTTTTAGGGTGTTGGATCATGTCGTAAAGAGTATCATAAACATCAATGTAAAGGATAACACCATCCAACTCTTTATCTAAAGCATCCAGTGCTGGAGAAAGCCTTGCGTTGAATTGTTTTGCCATATTGTTTAAAGGTTGATTGCATCCTCTTGTAAATATACCTCCGAACACCGTTCTTTGAAGTGGTACACACCCAACAGGTACTGCACTAAACACTCCAATTTTCTTTGCTCCAAGTTTATGTAATTCCTAAGTAATAAATAGAAAATAATTAGTGTTGGATGATATTATGGTTTGGTGTTTCTTATATTTAAATAATGTAAAATACTTACTCTTACGAACTTGACAGCTGAGTCAGCTAAGAAATTTGCATAGGATGTACGACTGTAGCTAAAAGATTGAGCTAAATAAGTGTGAGCAAGGTCATTGCTACTAGAAACCACGACAAAAAAACTGTTGTCCAAGATATTTTGAGCTTTTTCTTCTCCAAAATGTTTCTTGATCGTTGCTATATATTGTTTGAAATATGTCAGTTGATCCCACACCGATATCACTTTCTACAAAACATCAAAATATTAGAAAGATTATCATTTCTAGTATGATGATAAAAATATAGTATAATATATAGTGTCAAAAAAATGGTACAACATACCATAATTTTAGCCGTTAATGGATCGTAACCAGTTCCTCCGGACGCAAATGTTATACCTTTAAGAAGGTCTTCAGGCTTCAAATTTTTATTCATATAAGCTGGCAATGTCTTTGCCAATCCCAACTTTTCAGCTGAAATAAAATTGTTCAAATTAAGAAAAATGTAGCAAGATATAAAATAGATATACTCTTTATTTATAGAAAAATGTAAAATTAATTGAAAACTTACCAATTAGATCAGAGGGAATTCTTCCATCAGAAAATCTTCCAGTGGCTAAACCTCCAGGATAATCTTTGCCGTAAGGAGGGAAGTTGCATTTTAGAATAGTGGGAAGATTATTGTTGTTACCAGTATCCATTATTGAATCTCCAAAAACTATTAGTGATGGAATTGTTGTATTCTTTGCTGGCTTCGCTGCATTGGCTTCGACGGCTAGTAATACCAAAGCGAGACATAATATTCGAAGTTTCATTGTCTTATATCAATCTGATTTATTTACTTCTTTTTTGCTCGAGACTTCTTCGTTTTTTTTTTTTTACACATGTGAAGACATGATGAATACATTTATATATTTGTTTAAGTTTGTTGGACATCTAAATATATATCTTTGGAACAACAGTTGTTACACGCGAAGCATCTCTAATTAGTTATTACTTTGATAATGGCGTTTCAATGGCAACGAACTTTAATTGTTTTATTACCAAAAAAAAATTGTTATTTCTTACCAACTTGAATATACTATGTTTTGGATTTTTGCCATGGGAGAAATAAAAAGAGAGAGAAAGAGGAAGAATTTTGCCAACAAAAGAAACTATTAATCGTCTTTATGGCCTTTTTCCAGAGAGATGAAATACATACATTCAACTATTTTATTAGATATTTGACCTTACGTTGCTGACAAATTGACAGCTATTTACAAAATATGACTAGACAAATTTCCATGTAAAGGTCATTTTTTATGAAATGTTAATATGTTATTTGACATGATTCACCCCCAAACAGTTTAGATAAGCATATGAAGAAAATCAAAACCTATAATTTAGTATCCGTTTTGGAACACTGACTGACTGACACCAAATCGAGATATATAAGACTCTTCACGTGCGTGTTGTGTACTTGTGTATGTAAAAGAAAAATCATAGAGTTGTATTTTTGTTATAGTCACTTGCAATTTTTTTTCAAATGAACATATGAAATTTTATCAACAAAATGAAATATATATATATATATATATTTTTTTTTATAAAAGCAAAATGATATATTTTAGAAACTAGTTTGAAAGAAAACGATAAAAATTAGCCGATTTTGTTTGTTTTTTTTTTCTTTTTTTTGGATAACCGAGAGGTAGATATTGGAACTAATCTCATGAGGGAGGTGCAGCCCACGGATAAACCCTCTCTCCGGGTATTCAAATGGACCATGTCCATGTAAGTGTCCAGAAACAATGTGTTGTAGTTTCACGCAGCAGGTGGATCGAACTTGAAACGTGTTGGCGTCCCAAGCCCGTCTCCTTACCACTTGACCACAAGACCCCAAATAATTAGCCGAATTTTTACGTGGAAACCAGCTGCATGAGATCATAAGTTGCGGAGAGGCTTGATCACAAAGAGCAACAAAAATGTGTTTTCTAATGCTCAGGATAATTGTAGGTTCGCTGGTGACGACTCCATGCAAATTTGAAGACTAAAGGATTCCACTGTTTTTTTGGGTAAATGTAAAGATTTTAAATATTTTCAAATTTGTGACAGAAGTTAC